AGTAAGAGGAGCGCATAAATTTTCTGTGCTCCTCTTCCTGGGGGAGGCGAGCAGAGCTCCGTAGTCACCCAAGATTGTATGAGCAGCTAGTGCAAATCACAGAGGAATGAAGTATGGAGTGGTCCCGTTCATTATGAAATCTAAATTCTCAAACTCTCAAAATCTTCACTCGTCTGTCGCACTTGAAGTTCTCTGTTAACTGAGTCCCCTAATCTTTCAAACGTTGATACACTGAGAGTCTGCGTTTTGCAGAAACAAGTTTGTCATATCAAGATATTCAAAAAAGCATGAGTGATATAGCTCCTACGAAGACTTCCTTTCCAGGCACCAAGTCATATCTAGTAGAAAGTTTCTAATAGGAACTTTCCAGCTTTACCGACAATCTCAGGTATGCTGGAACACGTTTCGGTGACGTGCTTGCGAAGAGCGTCCTTATAAGTTTGTGAAACACCGCATGCAGGGACAGATATAGTGGGGGAGTTGAGTATAGCAGGGAGGGTTCGAATTGCTCAGGTATAGTCTTTGGTTCGCGTCGCTGCATGGCGCGCTTGGAATTGGTGTTTCTATCAGAATGGTAGGTATATCACGTGAAGGGACAGACATGGTGAATAAGTCGAATGTAGAGAGAAGCTGCAGCAGCAGCATATACCCGATGCAGGATTCGAACCTACGACCATCTGCTCCGTAGGCAGACATTCTATCCAGCTGAACTAATCGGGCGATGACATTAATCGATCTCACTGATATTGGATTTAGACCCAATTGCCCGATGATTAGGAAAGTGGCGGGCGACCAAGCGGTTCCATTCTGTGAGCGAGCAACCGACAATCTCAGGTGTGCTTGCTGAATCGCGTTTCGGTGACGTGCTTGCGAAGAGCGTCCTTATAAGTTTGTGAAACACCGCATGCAGGGACAGATATAGTGGGGGAGTTGAGTGTAGCAGGGAGGGTTCGAATTGCTCAGGTATAGTCTTTGGTTCGCGTCGCTGCATGGCGCGCTTGGAATTGGTGTTTCTATCAGAATGGAAGGTATATCACGTGAAGGCACAGACATGGTGAATAAGTCGAATGTAAAGAGAAGCTGCAGCAGCATATACCCGATGCAGGATTCGAGTCTACGACCATCTGCTCCGTAGGCAGACATTCTATCCCAGGATGGCTGAAGGCTGAGGAAGAATCATTCTTCCCTTCCCCAATAGTTCCCGTTTTAGTTCCCGGGAATAATGCCTGGTCGAAAAGGGGAATAATAGACCTTATTTGGGGAATTATTGTACAAAATCATCTTTTTCTCCAACATCACTCCAAAAGAAAGTCCGAAAAACATTCATAGGCGTCTTAGGAAACCTTCTCGGCCGTAAGGCCTTGAAAAAATACGAGCTTCCTCGTATCTTGTCACTTTTTTTGATATCGAACGTCAGGGCGAGCGCGTGCGAGATGTTCGCCATTCGCAAGTTGCAAAACAGGCCAGTAACTGGCCGCCAGTTACGTTGCGTCCATACCCCACTGGTCCGAGTACCTCATCGTGGTGTGGAGCTTACTGGATGGTGAATTCTAACAAGATCGAAACTGGGATCAAGCTGCCACCACTTACATGCTGCCCCACCGAGGAAGAAATTCTCACCTCGGGTTCGTCACTGTCGTACTCTGCATTCTGCTCCAGGATTTCTGGATTTCTCTGAGAGTGTCTTTATGCTGGATGGCCCCGTCCGCATTGGGAGAAGCTTTCTTAGTGCATTAACACACTGTGACCCAAGAGTCTTGGGCCAAGACAGCTGATAGTATCAGCCAGGCTGGTTGTATGCCGCAGTAATTTTTGGCAGTATTTGCGAGTGAGAGGGCGATTGGCCTCTGGCCCACAATAAGATTTAAATCAGCTTGAATTGAATGGAATTGAATTGAATTGCGTTCATGGGAACAGAGGTCTCAGTTGTTGTGTTGTGTCATAGTAACCTGATAATCTGCTCAGTCAATGCCCCCCAAAACCTCTGTCGACCTTGCGAAACAAGAACGCTACGAACGATTCAATAAGCAGATCATTATGTGTTCCACAATCGGTGGGTGGTCGTCACGTTCACTCACGATCGACCAACTCCAAGAAGCAGTCCGCATCTTTGATCCTTCGTACGGCACCACTCCGGGGTCACGGCTGACTCGCTATCGAGTTGATAAAAACAAACAAGAAATTTTTCAAGAGGAGTTGCAATCCGTAATATTCAGGCTGGGAGTTACTCTCGATAGAAAGCCCATTTCGGAAGATCCTCTCGTCGAATCGCGAATAGCCGACTGAGTCGCAACATGCCTTGAGCAGGTAACCAACGAGACTGCGGTAGAAGTAAGAGTAAATAGGACTCCCGTTTTCATAATGTGCGATGGGTGGATGCCTCCGTTTCGTCGGACGCCAATGTTGGCTACGTGCCTCGCATTCGTGCAAGACGGCGAGACAAGGATCGTACCGTGGCGAGGCCGCGCAGTGCGCGGCGCGCACTCAAAACCGGTGAGCGCGAAGAGGCCGAGTTCTGCGCTTCGTTCCTCATCGGAGAGTGTATCGAAGCTCTACGTGAGTGTAAGTAAGGCCCTCATTGTAAGGCAGACGAAAAGTCACGTTTCATTTCGCCCTGGATATGCGGTGGAAATACGGCAGTTACCAGAAAACAGTGTGAACAACTATTGTGAACGCAAAACCATTCTAGCATTCCATAGTTAGGATGAGTTTAACGATTGAACTTCACCTGATTATGGAACGATCGAGTTATTGGACAATCCGTGTAAAATATGAGTGTCATTGGTGGAGTGGTTAGTTGTGAAGTGCTCCATGGAGATCACCCGAGTTCGATTCTCATGAATGATACTTTTTAGATTCGATCGATATCTTTGGCATCATAACCGATAATGCTGCCAACATGGCTGGCTGCAGAGATATCGTTACAAGGAGGATACATACAGCGAACCGCGGTAACCATGGACATTCATCAAGCATGAGACTCACAAATAAAATATCATGCATTCATGGTGGGTGTCTAGCCCATCAGAATGCCTTGTTGGCTAAAAAGCTATTGACGAGAACTGAGCCGAAAGGAGGTGATGAAGTGAGAGTCGGCCAGTTTTCAAGTTGGGTTGATCTGATCAACCTGGTACGGAAGTTGCTGAGTATATCATACATTGAGAGGGAATATAAGGCAACACCTAAGGTGTTACACCTTATATTTCGTAAGTTGTCACCCTATATTCCCTCTGTATACAGGTGTTGAAAGGGCGCAAGATACCCGAGGTAGCCGAGACCAGGTGGGCAAGCGGCATTATAAGCCTGACTAAGTTGATCGAGAATTGGCCCAATTCTCGTGCAACGTCCCCCAATTCAATTGGGGGACGTTGCAAGAGCTTCTGGAGGACCTCAAGCTCAATCATTGGAATAAGTAGGTTCCTTTAAGGAACTTCCTTATAAGCCAATCAACTCCTCTTCTTAAACGAGACACGTTAAGTGTGGCTAAAAGTGTAGTTATTATTTATTTACGTGAGGAGAGTTAGATTAAAAGTATTAATGAGCATATAGTGTGAAAAAAATATATCATGGATGACGATGTCAGTTTCAAAGTAACTTCAAAGGTTTGAAGTGCATTAGCTCATATCATAGCACACTCAGGCTCTCTAAGAAAGGCAAGAAGTATCACACGGAGCTTTCGATGCACATCTATTCACGAGTTGAGCAGCTCAACGCGTAGCTCAACTTGAGCTACGCGATGCCAAAGAAGCGGTGGATGTGTTGACGCCGTTGTTATACCTGAGCAACGCACTGCAAGAAGACTCGTGCACATACTGGCAAGGCATCCAGGCATGCGGCCATAGATGGAACTGATCAGCTGGAGGCTCTAGCTGATCAGTTCCATCTACGGCCGCATGCAGGAGAATGATAGACTTGCCCAGGAGTCCAAACGGATGGTTGCGAAGAGGTAATCCCTTGCTGTACGATGTGTGGCAGTGCCTCCTCAGTCAGAGGGGCTAACGGTCACGACAACCAATGTGATTGTCAGGTTGACAAAAGCCGCTAACGGGTATCTCTGGATTCTGAAATTCGACCCTAGAGGATTCGTAGATGACAGAAAGACAGGAGGAGATGTTAGAAGAGTGCTCAAAGGGCATCCGAGATTTCAAGGCGTTTCGAAACATCGTCACTTTACAAGGCAGCTTAAAGTTTCTCCGCGACTTCTTCCGAGCCGAAGGTGAGGCTAGTTCGCAATGCGCACTTCGCATTGCTCTGCTAGGAACACTGATGTATTCAAAGAAACGATGGTTCATCGTCTCTTCAAATACATCAGCCGATGATGCCATCCCAGACATGGTGCAGAGCGATGAGATCAGGTAGTCACTCCGAAAGGAGATTGCCCGGATTCAACACCGACCCAGCCGCCTACTGGAAAGAGCATCGCCACGGCAGTACGATCGCCAATTTCCTCTTCCTAATTTCTCATATGCCGAGCTCGACGGGGCCACTAGAGCGTCTGTTCAGTGGGGCTAAATTTGGGAACAAGTAAGAGTCCTCATGCAGTTCTCACCGTCTTGAACGACACGGTGCTCTTCACTTTCAGCCACCCAGTTCTATCCAGCTGAACTAATCGGGCGGTGACCTTGATCGATCTCATTGATTGATCTCACTGATATTGAATTTAGACCCAATAGATCGATGATTAGGAAGGTGGCGAGCGACTAAGCCGTTCGATTCTGTGAGCGAGCGACCAAAACTCTCAGTCATGTCTGCGAGTTCGCACTTCTGTGTGACGTACTTGCGTAGAGCGTCTTCATAAGTTTGTGAAACACCGCTGAAACCTCTAGCCTCCGAGTTGTGGCAGGGCGCGTGTCGACTCTCGAGCGCCATCTGGGCACTGCGGAGGATGACACGCAAGGTACACTAAGGACACTCAGGATAGTAAGCTTCTGTCGTAAGCCACTGAAGCTTGCTGCCTGGAGTGCCCCTAGGACCTACATCGGAGACCTCGATGAAAGAAAAAATATCATGCTTAACACATACACTACTCCAGGTTGCTAAGACAGTCTGCCTTGTGTGACTAGCTTGGCAGCCTGAAGGATTCAGGTTATCTCCTTGTGCCGGCAGCGATTGTGTCAATCTCTGTCCCAAACCAGGCTTCGCCGGAAGACAACTCTCTGGCACAATTTCAACCGCGGAGAAGCTACGCTTTTCCTAAGCAGGACGGGAACAGATACAGTGGGTGAGTTGAGTGTAGCAGGGAGGGCTCGAATTGTTCAGCTATAGTCTCTGGCTCGCGTCGCTGCATGTGGTGCTTGAAATTAGCGTTTCTATCAGAATGGAGGATATATCACGTGAAGGGACAGACATGGTGGGTAAGTCGAATGTAGAGAGAAGCTGCAGCAGCATATACCCGATTTAGAATTCGAACCTACCACCATCTGCTTTGTAGGCAGGCACTCTATCCAGCTGAACTAGTCGAGCGCAAATTTCAACTGATCCCACTGATGTTGAAGTGTGACTGTAACCAAATGGTTCGGCAAGGGGCGAACGCGGGAACCGTCTGACTCTGAGATGGTGACAATATCTCGCAGGGCGGAAAGGCACTACTTGAATACTACAGAGCCAAACTTCCTCACACGCCAGCTCGAGGCTTCGTACAAAAACGAACCGCCTAGGGCTCATCCAGCGCCTGCGCATCATGAAGTGCTTCGCCAAAATGGTGCAACAAAAGACAGCAGATAGTTTGGAGAAATGACTTAGGGCACAATTCAGATCTACTTCTCCTTTTTGCTCTCACTGACATCATCGCTAGCCTTTCCCTCTGTGCGCTCCTCTGCTGGGGCACCGCTCTGCTTATTCTTCTCGACTTTGAGCTGCCTACGGAGTTCGGCCTCGGCATCCGCATCCGACACGTTCCTAACACATAAGCATCGATCTATTCGAGAGCGGCTTTCATCGACAAGTGTTCCATTGCGAGTAGAACTACCCGTAGACCACGAAGGGACTTCGTTTGAAACGAAGTCCCACGTAAGGAAACGAATCGTTTCCTTACGTGCACAAGAATAGCGCATAAGCACTTATCGCCATAAGCAAAAACATAGAACCAGAGAAGCACAGAGCAACAATGATAGGGTGATCTGTGACAAACTTCGACTGGATCTGAGATGACGCAGGCTATTAGGAGTACTGATGTTCATCAAACTGTCCTCACAAGTCTCTCCACTTGCGCCCAGGCATGCTTCAACCCACTAGGGGGCGGGGGGACATCCTAACAGACAAGCTTATCACTTCTCGGCCGCACCAGAAGCGTGTTACCATGGCTTCGGTGGCTTCAGTGGCATAGACCTCGGGAGAGCTGGCAAACTTGGAGAGAGCCTCTAAGGTTCTCTGCCCTCCATACCGATATATCTTGCTCTGATTGATCATATACAGAGTAGGCAACCTCTTTATCGTAAACCTATGCAGAGAGGGTCTTGCTATTACAAAACTATATAACGCGGATCACAGTATACCCACAGTAAGAGAACGAAAGTGACGAGGAAGTACCGGGGCTAACTGATGTGAAAAATATGTGAAATGTTCACTGCTAACTTAGCAGTGCTAAGTGAAAGACCATA